ATGTATGTATGTATGTATGTATGTATGTATGTATGTGTATACTGTATACCCATTGTGATATTGCTTTTGACACGATCCCGGTATTCCTTTCAAAGTGAAACCCGGACTGCCACATTGGTTTTCCTGAGCTTGGTTAATTGGATGGCTCTCAGACAAGGAAAACGGTGACCAAATAAGCAGCCCTTCGAGTGTCGGCTTACAATGGCCTACACCCATCCCAACAGAAACCATCCACAAGACGTTTTGAGACCATTTACCAGGGCCCACTGCCCCATCCAGGAGTCCCAGCAAATTGACCTTTGTGGAAAAATGCACAACTGAATGTGCAAAAATACACCAGCAACCAAATTGATTGCTGAAGTGCTTCTTTCTACTCCTTCTCATCCATTCTATCCCCCCATCCAGACCAAACTCCATCTTGACTTGTGGCTCCCCAAACGCTGGATCGTCTCCAAAGCCTCCTGCAGTTCACCATCCCTTGCTGCTTCCACCGCTGTCTGCACCGCAGCTCGCAGCGCCTGCAGACCCCGTACGGCGCCCGCCTCCACACCAGCGGAGCGGACAACGTCCAGGATATCCTGAGGAAGGGCGACTTGGACGGCGAGCGAAGCCGCTCACAAACCACATGAGAAGATTGAGTGAAGGATAGGTTTGGAGGAACACCTTCAAGCCAACTCTCAAGACCTTAAAATCCAACTCCCTAGCCAAAACTAACCTTCTCGATCATGACAGGCAAATTGGTTTGGAGATATGTTGGCATGCCAAAGAAGCATGTGATCCAGAGGGTGAGTTGACAAAGCAAGAGTTCCAAACTAACAACTTTTCAAGGCCCTGGTAAAACACTGCGGCAGTGGTTCATTGTACTTTGTTCCTTTGTCAGTAAGGACAAATTTTGCAAAGAGAGTTGAAAACAGGATATCTACTGAAAAAATCTACTGAAAAATGAGAAACGCGATTTGCATCCACTTGCAACCATGATTTTTGAATCTGCTCAATGCATTTGTTGTTATATAAACTCATCAAATGCGGAACGCAAGCTGTTGACTGGGCTTATCAGGACATTTGACTCCAACCTGACCATCTTTCGGCCGTCATTGCATCAACCCGACGAGATCCTCCAGCAGCTGCTGTGCCTCCTTCTGTCTTCTTTCCGGATTCTCACGGGTTGAGAACGACGCCTCGGAGATTTCCACCAAAGCCCAATGTTCAGTCCAATGTTCGGCCTTCTTTTGAAGACAATCCCAATAGGAATTTCCGAACTTTCACATAAAAAGAAACATTTACAGTATATACAGAAAAGGAAGAACAACTCATCAGGGAGCTGTTGCCGCTCTGGTGATTTTGCTCTCTGCTCGGCCACTGGGCACTGGTCCGACAAAGCTCCAAGGCAACGCAGCACAGATCACCAGGCCAAGGCTGAGGCCGCGAAACAAGCGAGGCCAACTCGGCCGCCCAGCCGTCCGAGGCGGTGGTGTTGCCATGGCAGTGATGTCTTGCGCACAAGAAGAAGGAACGACGTGATGAAAGGTAGAACTGGAGATCCAAAGGACCCAGTGGATCGGATCCGGTTGGATTTGTGGATGCCAAGGTTGTATAATGTTGTATATTCACTGGCGGTTCAAAAAAAGAAGTTGGCTTTGCATGCACTAAAGTTAGCCTAGCTGAACCAATCTGCATTTTGGGCAAGAATGCCATCTCTCGTCTCTGCGCGTCGATTGAATTTGGCGTTTCTGGCGCAGGCCCCAGCAATCGCCAGCCTTGGACTCAAGATCTTTCGGTGTTCTTGACCTCGGACATGCTTGTGGGAACCACTTCTGGCACTAGCATCTTCGGAGACCTGCAGCATATATAGGGGTTCAATGGGATTCATGTTTCGTGTGTATCCAGCCAAGTATTCGAGGACATTTGGGAATGTCAGGAATCGGATCTAGTATGATCTAGCCTAATTGACGTTCTCAACTGACACCGAACACAAAAAAAGCATGGACCCACACCCACAGGCTTTCGTTGATTTTCTTTCATGTCAGCGGTGAAAAGCTTTTGTTCTCAGTCTTCATGTCATGAAAGCAAACACAACCAGAGGTGGTCAAGGACTCCTAAGATGTTCGATCTTTCGGAGGGCCGAACGGGAGATTTGAAGATTTAGTCTTCCTCCTCCTTGGGCACCCACTTGGAGTGGGATCAATTAAGATGAACATGACCTTTGATGATGGGATCACTTCAAGAATGTGGCCCAATGGATCGTCATTGCACTCCACAGCCAAGACACGTCCACCAGGTGGTCCCATCCTGGTGGCCAGAACTCACCGAAAGCAATGCGTAGATCTGAGGAACCCTGCAAAAGCAAGAGTGGCACAAGTTGTAGTTGAATTAATTGCATTATGTGGATTCCTCCGTTGGTATTATCATTTCACCCACCGTTGCCCTCGCTGATTCACCCAAGTGGACACGTCCTTGACACCGGCTTCGTGTAACTTTACATGCCGCTTTGATATACAACAGCTTATCCGGCTTATCTCAATGATGGCAGCTTGCTGACCACAAACAAGCGAGGGTACAAGTCAACCCTTAAAGCACACTGCAACCAACAGAAACTCTCCGCAAACTCCTTCTTTGAGGGCAGTTCTTCGACGATGCATGACCCGAACCAGGGTCCATGGCATCATCTCATCGGCTATAGAGAGAACCAACAAATTTCCGCTGGAATGGGCAAAGTTTTGGTTGAAAAGAGGTGTCAGCCAAACACGGGCGCCAGCTGCATGGTGCATTATATTGCGACACGGAACACTACGAATTAGAGCTCTGCCAGGTTCTTGTCCGTTTCAATATAGTCCACAACAACCTCTTTTCTGCTTGCTGAGCCTCGCAGTCTCTATCCTGTGGCCCTATGGCGCTGCGTCAAGGGTGTCTTAAACCGCGCACGCCAACACGAGATCAAGTCAGAAAAAGTAAGTGCGAGTGGGTCCGAACCCAATGGGCCAGCTTTCAGGATGAACCGTGAAACCAACCACTATTTTTTGGGCGCTTTCAATGCTTGAGTACCTAACGTACAAGAACGGGATGCCTGCTCGTCTTTCAGGATTAATACGAACAAAACATACCAAAAATTACCAAAACTACAATATATAGCCATCGCTGCTAGGTTGGAGGCCATCACTATTAGGTAGGAGGGCATGGCTAGTAGTCTTTAAAAAGGTCCTTTCATGTTTGGCCTCGGTCAGCCACGGTAAAAGGTCATGCACCTGCTGACCCACGAGGCTCTGGCGATCCGAGGCTCCAAGCATTTGGCCTCTGGCGCCTTGGTCACCAAGCTCACGGCCACAGTGGTGAAGCCTGTGAGCACCTGAGGACCGGCTGGGATAGGTTTTTCACTGAAGCATCAGCCATTCAGATATCTGGTTTTCCTGCTGTTTAATTTGTTTCAGCTAGGGAACTAATCAATGATGCCTACCAAATGCTCACACCTATGTGACATCCCAATCTGTGGAGTCAGTTACCACCCCAAGCGTGGCTCCAGTGGAGAAGTCATGGCTGAGAAGTGAGCCTCAGTGCTTTGAGTTCTTACTGAGTCTCTATACATATATATATATATATGGGAGTTGATCTAAATTTCTTTATCCGGGATCCGTCATTTTCGCCAAAAAAAATTACTTTAGCCAAACTTTCGCCTTCCTGCGTTTTATCTTTCGCCGAAGTACGTTGTATTTATGTGTGCCATGTATGTTGTGTTTTGTTCACGTCAATGGCTTCTTCTTCACTGGCAAACACAAAATAGAAACTTCACTGTTTGTCAGCATGTGTCTTCTACTTAACTGTTGACACCCTGTACGTCTCTTTTGTTTCTCCTGGGTGTCAGCAAGAATCAAAAATGCAAGAATCACTGTAGTAGCCGGTCACTCAAACTTACTCATAATGGGCTGGGGGTCAGATGTGGCAGGGTGAACTTTCGCCAATCTTGAGCTGAACTTTCGCCAAACTTTCGCCCTTTGCGGGGTAGAGTTTTGTCAAAGCCACCCCCCCAAAGCAGGAGCAGGAATAGTAGTAGTAGTAGTAGTAGTCGTAGCGGTAGTGGTAGTGGTAGTAGTAGTAGTAGTCGTAGTGGTAGTGGTAGTGGTGGTGGTGGTGGTGGTGGTGGTGGTCGTGGTCGTGGTCGTGGTCGTGGTCGTGGTAGTAGTAGTAGTAGTAGTAGTAGTAGTAGTAGTAGTAGTAGTAGTAG